CTCAAAAATGGTTTGATCCACCCCATCTCTCCCACCTTTCCCCGACCCGGTCTCTGAGCGCTCTATCTGCACTGAGCAAAGCGCTGCCTTCTAAAATGGGGGTTATGCAGTACCTGGCTTAAACCAGGATATGTGGCACATTTCTTAACTTCTACCACTCAATACAACACATTATCATTACCAGTCCTCATTTTTGCTTCATTTAATCGTAGGTCACTGTTTATGTTGTTAGGTAGGAGTTAGCTGACGTTTTTTCTAGCTAGGAAACGTTACAGGTGGTCAGTACCACTGTCGTCTGTTTGAATTGGAATGAGAGAAGCTAGCTGTTGTGTCAGGCCAAAACACACCGGCGACGTCATGTGACGGCGGCGTCATTGACACGAGTCAAGTGCCGCCCTGGTGCCGCCTCCAACATACACAAAAAGCGTCGCGCTGCGGGGCGTCAACCAGATTTCTATTGCACACTCCAGTCCGCTTAGACTCACAAGTCAGTCTTTAGACGCTTTGTTTAAATAAAGGCGGAGATCTCTGATTGTCTGGTGGTGAGACTACAGTCCGCTAGGCTGGGAAGTAACCGGCGGCGTACGACGCGCGTCAAAACAGCCGCCCCCATTATTTTCTATTTACAAACCCACACCGGCGGCGGCTAGACGTGCCGCGCCGCGGCACTTCACGCTATTGTCCTACTTTTCCAGCGTCGCCGCCCTTGAAAAAGCGCTATTTTGTACTTCCCAGCTCCCGTGCAATAGAAATCCGGTTGACGCCCCGCAGCGCGACGCTTTTTGTGTGTGTTGGCCGCCGGTGTGTTTTGGCCTTGGCCTCACATGTGCATGTGTTAATATTAAAGCCAAGGTGCTACTGACTAGCTAACTGACTGGATGCCCATTAACATTATAACTCCTCATATTTTTGGTACTCACTATAGGGGGCTGGTTTACTCCAGAAACATGCATACTGTTTATGTGTATGTTGTGGAGCTGTTGTTCTTTTCTTTCACAAATGTTGGAATGACATTGCCTTAAAATGTACAAAACAGTGAAATTTATCTTGCCTGGCTGGGCAGCTCTCTGGGTGCTCAGCACCCCTAAACCTCTGATCCTAGAATCGCCCCTGATTGCATCATTGTCAGTAGTGGTATGTTACTAAAACTACGGAACTCAAATACTGTATTTAGGTGCAGTTTTGAGGTACTTGTACTTTACTTGAGTAGGCCTATTTCTACTTCATGCAACTTTATACTCTCATTAGACTGCAATTAGAGGTCAAATATTGTACTTTTTACTCCACTACATTTATATGACAGCATCAGTGACTGGTTAGCTCAGATTCAAATTATTAATACAAAACATACATTAACTAATAAAATATGACACTATCATAGATTAAGCTACCCAGCAATATATTTAGTAATGCAAATGAGCTCCACCTTTACCAGCTGCAACATCAAAGAAATGTAAGCCTACACATTAATGCATCAGTAATTATAGTCCAGTAATAAAACATATATTTTGATGCTAATATGTTTGTACTTTTACTTAAGTAACATTCTGAATGCAGGGCTTTAACAAATTATTTTTATGCTGTGGTATTGCTGCTTTTACCCAGGTAAAATATCTTAATAACTCTTCCACCCTAAGATAAGATAAGATAAGATAAGATAAGATAAGATAAGGCATAAGTAGTAAAAAAAAATAAAATATAAAGCATATACAAGTATATAAATACATAAAGTGAGTAAACTACAAAAACAAAGAGCGGTACAATAAGCAAACAGTATAAAAACACAAAGCAAAATGATAAGGAAGCAACAAAAAGAAGCAGGATATAATACAATTTTACATTAACAACCGATGGAAGTATAGATATTGCATAATATTGTTTAATAGTACTGATATTGCTTATTGATTATAAGCAGTAAAAAATGAAAGCAAGATATAGCAGTGGCAGAATTTACATTATTGCATTGATCAAATGTAGATATTTCATTAATATACACAGATACAGATATTAACACTACACATACAGTACTTACATTGTATTATTTAAATATTTAAGGAACAGAAGACTGCCTCGTCACTGTATACTGTGCGAGGTGCAAAATCATCTAAGCTGGTTCTGCATTATTATCTTTTATTGTCCCCCTGTTGTGTAGAGGAGACTTTAGTTATTTTAGTTAATATTTTGTTCACACAGTGTTTAACATAACATCCAGTGCTGACTCAATCAAATTACCATTAACTGACACACTGCAAACATGGGGCCAGGAGAGGTTTCTGGGTCTGGATGTATTAGTACAATAAACCATACCA